ATTCCCACCTCGGCTACACTGGATCCTTCCCCACAATGAGGAAACTCTGGACAAAGTCTTGCCAGGAATTATTCAGACCAAGGGCTGGAATTCTCCAGGCCCAGTTATCACAGCACAGAGATCTTCAGCAGGCAGTTTGGTGGCTGAGTTGGGAGGAGCTGGTTTCCCCAATAAGCAAATGGATACTTACGCTCTCACTTCGCAAAGTACTTTCTCCATTTTGCTCAGCAGAGATGTGTCTCTCAACAGGAGACAAGAGCTCGCCTAGGGAACTTGAGTGCTAAAATGTCCAAGAAGGGCCTCTGCCCAGCAAGTAACCCAAGGACGTGACTGGCCAGGCAGATGAGTCTCTCTTGTTGCTTCTAAAGGGCAGATTCAGGTTTAGACACTCAGTCATATACTAAAGACAAGCAGAAGGGTTTGGCAAACTGTTAGCAAGCTGCAGTTCAGGATCTCTGCTGCCTTAGATGTCAGAGCTGTTTAGACTGCATGATATGGTATGAATAAGGACACAGCTCAAGGAATGTGGTTTGAAAAAATCAAAGCCCAGACTTCAGTTCTCCTCACACTGTCTCTCTTCAGGCAAGTTACATTCTCTGCCAGTTTTTTAGTTTAACTCGCTCAGATACTGCGATCATGATATTTATCTGTCTCTGGGATGCTATGTTTAGCAATGCTTGCAAAGCACCTTGAGAGCCTATGATGGAAGGTGCAACATATGTGTGTCTGTGTATATTATGTATACACACACAAAGAGTCTTCTGATTTTTTTAAGAAATCCTTACTTCATGCTGTGCAGCCAGAACCAGAGGTTTGCACCAATACTGCTCTGTCACCTAGTATGCCTCACATCTGTGAATAGCTCAGACATCTGCCAAGAAGGCTCAGGCCAGCATATCTCCTGCTCAGCTCCAGGCTGAAAAGGTCCCTTGTTTTAGGAGAGGAAATGTTCCCGCAGTGGCCTTTTAGGATGCAGACGCAAGAGATAAGAGACAGGAAAGTCATTCGAGGGATCTGGCCCCTGTCCAAGCAGAGGGCGTTCTCAACATCGATAAGATCAAGGCAAGAGCACAAGAGGTTTATGTTCTGATTTAAAATTCTTATTTTATTTTTACATAGCAGAAAACATCTCTCTGATCAGCCAGGTTATCAGATTTGCCTTACTCCCTCTCTGCCTGCCCCAACATGAGTTCTTGATAACCAGGAGCTTGCCAGTTGTATCTTCTACCCACCTACTGCTGCTGAGATAAGCCCAGCTCCACCAATCCCACTCAGAGACTGCATGCAGGAGTTTGTGAATGAAGAACAAGAATAGGACTAGATGACAGACTTGCAACCCTCATTCCAAGAGGGCCTGGAGAACTGAAGATTTTTGGTATTAAAGACAAACTCTGGAAGATGGGTCTCCGCATTCAGAGCCAGCTAAAGCTGACCAAGCCTGGTCCAGGGCAGAGGCAGTTACACCCTGACAGCACATGCACATACAGTCATCCTCCTTCCAGCACTAAGGAAGTGTCTCCATTTAACACACGACTGCACCATGCAAGCATGCTTTGGATGCTAAAATACCCATGCACATGTGTGTACCCCTCACCCACACCAGTCCCTTACTTCCAGCTACAGATGTTACACTGGCTGACACTTTGGGGCTTCATTGACCAGGTATGCACATACACACACACACACACAATGCCCACCTCACTGCACAACACCCATGTAGCACCCACATCTAGCCCTCACCTTGTACAGACACATGCTATGCTACACTTATCTTATGTACAAATCTGCACTTGATACATACACTGTCACCTCCAGTTTATACCTGCTTGACTGCCCATAGGGGCTGATTCTACTGTTCCATTAACCTCTACTGGGAGGGGGACAGGACACCAGAAGAGATTTTTTTTTAAATACTATTTTCCCTTCAGTGTAGGCCCTGACCTCTCACAGCTGCTGTTCCTGAAAACATTTCAAACATGACCAAGCTGCTGCATATTTGGGAAGTTTATTAATCTCTCTAGGTTCTTAGACTGGTCACATCATTGTCCTATCATCCTGCTTAAGAACTGCTGAGCAAGCAGAAAGGCTGTAGCCTAACACCACTTGAGCTGGCCCATGGGAAGCTGAAGTACAGGGAACAAGGTGACACCTTATTGTTAAAAGGGCACACCAAGAAGCAAAACTTAGGTCATCTGCTTGAGAAAGACTCCCAAGGACTATGAACATTTCCAAGGGTTGAAACCGTGTTTCACTGCCAGAGGGCAAAGTCACTGCCGCTCCATCTCACCCTGCTTCAAACCCTGGCATAAACCATTAGGTAGCCTGCCTGCTCCTCGAATCAGTTCACTCACTGCATCTCCTTCCAGTTGTATGCTGTCTGGACGTCACTGCTCACCTCAGTTGAGAAAGACTGCATGTCCTTTACCTATGCTGAAACAGGAGCAGGTGTGCATCAGGGTTTCTCAGGGCTACAGTGACAGAAGCAAACTGGTTCACATGGTGATGTTTCCTGTCCAGACATGCAGACAGTTGCCTGGTTCCTCCTGTAACAGTTCATCAACACATGTGCTATGAGAGATCTGTCTTCATTTCTTCCACCCTCACCACAACGGCAAAGTCCAAACACTCAACCTGTGTCACAAGACCCTTAGTGACAGAGAACCAAGCCTCTCACCTTGCCTCCTGCTATCATCCTTTACAAAAGGCCTCAGAATAGCTCTCCCAAGGGAATTAAGGTTCCTAGTGTGCTCTGATTCCATTACCAAATGCTAGGCAAGAGCCAGAGACCACAGAATGGTTGAGGTTGGCAGGCACCTCTAGAGATAGTAGAGTTCACCCTCCCCTCTTCTGTCCAGGGTCAGCAAGAAGACATTGCCTAAGACCATGTCCTGGCATGCTTTGACTATCTCCATGGACAGACACTCCGCAATTCTCCGGGCAACCTGAATTTCCTGCATTTCAACTTGTGCCCATTACCTCTTGTCCTGCTGCTGGGCAACACTGAGAAGGAACCCTGTGTCAAGCATGTCTCACTAACTGGATTGATATTTCCCTTTATATGATGAGAGCACAGCACCATCCTTCCAGGAGGTATGGACCTCTCTCAGCTGCTTCCACAGCTGAGGTACCTCAGCATGGTATTTTTTCAAGGACCTGCTGCCTCCTTTCTAAGCTGGGTACACAAAAGTGGACACTTGCAATCACTTGAAAAACAGAAGCAAAAATGCTCCTTTATGTAACAGTTCTGCCACCATAACAGACCAACAAGAGACTGTGAAGTATCATATGCTATTGTCATGGAAACCACATGAGCACCTCAGGTAGAGATGCACTATCCCAGCTTGGCAAGGCTGGCCAGAGAAGCATGGATTCTGTGCCATCTGTCAGAACAGTGTGCTCTCAGTTTCTGCTGTTTATTTTAGTGCAAGCTGACATGGGCTCATTAGGGAGCAAGGGAACAATTCTGCCTCTCAGATTCTCCAGAGGCACAGGAGTAAGCAATATTAAGGTCAAGATATCAGAGGAAACCACCCCACCAAAGCACCGTTGAAACCACAGGGACTGGGAGACTACCACCAAGCAGCACTAGAAATAGCCACAGTCCAGGGACACTCAGAAAAAAACAACAAAAGCACAAGGGGCAGGCATAAAGAAAGCTGATAAACAAGTTGTGCTAAAACACTGCAGCAGGATTAGGCTGTCGGTAGGTCTGAAGGACAGACAGTCTGGGGAAAGCTCACAGGGGCACAGGAGGAGACAGCTCTACTGAAAACAACCCAGGCAGGAGCACAAGAGAACACAGATCAGGATTAACTGTGCGATCAGAAGTACTGGATCATTGTGGAGCTGCTGGAAGACTGGACTGAAGTGCCCTGGCAGAAGGCATATGAGCAGTTGGGAGAAATACCATCCAGCTCTGCACAAGGTTCTAGCCAGCCCTACCTGCTCCTCTTCCTCTCGAACACAAAATTCAGCCACAAAGCAGCGATGGGCAAGGGCATCCAACAGCATGTCCATAAACAGTGGCACTTCTGGGTACACAAAGGCATCAGTCTGATTTCCTGCTGGGCAAGGTGTAAATCCTGCAGGATCCTGGTCTGTCATTCATACCTCTTGCAAGACTATAATTACTGCAGTGAAAGCAGCAGTTTTATCACAAAAGATATCTGTTTTCTTCACCCTGACTTGGTTTTGCCTGTGTTATCACAAACATGTGGAGGATCATATGGGGCTCAGTGGACTGAGGCGCTTGTTTTGGCTGCAATGTGCAAGGTCATACACACGTCTCCCACAGCATCATACAGCACTGACCAAAAGAAAGCCAAGTACCCACAAAGGAGACAGGGGTTGGCTGAAGAGTCAGGGGATGGAGTACTGAAGACAAAAACTCTGAGTGCAGGCAGCCCAAACTACTAGCAGGGAAGTTGAGCAAACCTAGCCCTGCTAGGTGTGTGCATGCTCAAAAACAGGAGATGCTGACACTGCAGTGTCATCCCAGCTACAAAGCCATCAAATTAATACAGTTCTCCCATCTGCCATCATTCAGTCCCACATCCCATACAGTTCTTCAGGCACCTGTGCCCCATGCAGCCCTAGTCCCTTTTCCACAGCTATCTACCACCAGAGCTCATCCCTACCAAACACCACTTGTTACCTCAGATCAACGCTTCCCTTGGTCAAGAAGGATCCAAATGACACTCTACAGGACAGCTATGTGTAACTGTTTGAGCTCACAGCAGGGAATATGGAATTTCACTCCAAGGAAGCTTTGAACCCCTAGTCTCCAAAATGGAAAAGCCAATGTATTATTAGTCTCATCAGCACCTAACCTAAATTACTACTAGAGTCTATATTCTAGGCTAGCAACTTTTGTTAAGCTGGTGATCAAGCCACAGGAAACCTCCAGAAATAAACTTCTAGGCATAGATGTTCAAAGAGAATCACCACATTTAGATATATGTGGAAAGATGAAGGAACTGCACCAGAAAAGGGCAACTTACACGAATTTTAATAACTCTAGTCTTCACTCCACAATTCCTCTTGAGCAGCATCTTCTGAAAGAGAAGTAGAATCCAGGGGTTAGTAGCAATAGCACGAGGGAATAGAAGAGGTGGTTGTAGAGAGTCTCTTTTCATCAAAATTTAATTAGCAAACAAGATGGATGGATGGCTAAGTGAGATATGAAAGCAGAGGTGGCCTTCAAGTAATCAACCCAATCTGAGACTGTCTCATCCAACTTGCACAGAGTCCTTTGGCAGTGGCTGATACCCTGGGTTTCAAAAGAACATACAAGAAATTCCACGGAAAAAGAGATGGAACAACTGCCTAAAAGGAAGTTTCTTCCTAATTTCTGTCAATTAGTGGTTAGACTTTGCCCTGAAGCGTGAATTTATCTTCCTTTTATGAAGAAATAAGTCTATTTAATGTAAATGTGGATGTACCCATTATTTAACAGTTATTTTCATTATGCTTATTTAGAATTAAAAAACAAGGTAAAAAGTACCTGCCCACAGTCCTAAATCCCTTTGCCATATAGTATAAGAGCTGTTATAGTTGTCATAACATATGAACCACACAACTCAGCAAACAGGATGTACTTAAAACAGCAATTACTCTGTGTAAGTACAGAAACAAACAGGTAAGATGCAGCTCTATCCCAGTTCTGAGGCAATGCTCTGAAAGTTGGCAAGTGAATAAAAACCATTCTTTCCCCTCAAAAAATTTCCAAAAGGCAACTGAAAGTAGAAAAAGAAGGCTTCAGGAGAGAACAGTTTTTCTGTAAAAAATACTTCAACTATATTTTTCATAGTGAAAAACTTGGTGATGGAGGCATGTCAGGAAGAAGCTTCACCATCAGCTTTTGAAAGAAATAGATTTTTCCTAGCTTCTGACTGTTTTCTACCCTTTTCCAGGGGGAAAGCTGTGTGAAGTGTGGGAAAGCATGCCACCACTACCACTTCAACAGAGCAACCGAAGTGTTTTTCAGATTAAGTTCTTAATACAGAAGACCTGTGGAAAGACATCCCACCATTTTACCAGTGTGGATGGTAAATAGTGAGATGTTTCTACTTCCTCTCTCGTTCATTGTCTTCCTGTTTTTTCCAGTAGAAGACAAAAGCAACACGTTAAAGGGAACCTTGGAAACTCAAAAAACTTACAAACACAAACATGAACAACTACCCCCAAAAAACAGAAGGAAAAAAAAAAAAACTTACAAAACTGAAGATAGTGCTCAGGTGAAAGTATATATTATTTTTCCAGTAGAAAGTACTGCTGGGTGGTGGGGAGAGAACTCCCAGTCCTCCACCACCTTCTGTCATTCTACACCCCATTAGCACATCTTTGCAGTTCAAATCCACACAGCTGCCCAAAACTTGGGAGGGAGTTGGAGACCCCCCCTACCATTTCTACACACACCAGCTTCTTGGATCAAAGATCAGCCCTCAGCACACTCACAGCCTGCTTACATGCCTGGAAAAAAAGAGATGAGCACTACAGCAAGTCCTGAAACTCATACACGGGTAGTTCAGGGCCTGAGGAAAGTGCATTACACTGTCCAAGCATGCATGGGGGAAAAGGGAGCACTGCAAGAATGTTGTGCTTTTTCTCAGTCCTTTAGCAGGTGAATCCCAATGCTGTCTTTGTTATTCAAAGGGCTCAGCAGCAGCCATGCCTGATGCCTCTGCCCTCAGGTCTGACCTGGCAGCGCAGGCTGCAGGGTCAGCACAGCACCAAGGTTTCTGACCTAAAAGGACCCAACAGGTCTTTGCACAAACCAGGCAGAAGGACACAAAAGGAACTGAAGTGACCTGAGCCTGTGCTCTGACTAAGCAAGTAATTATCTGGGAATTCCTCTAAAACACCATAGGGCTCTATTCCCATCCAGGCTGCAAAGACATTTTAAGGCTGGTATTTACTGTAAGGTTACTGCCTTTAAGACCCCCCACAACCACAAAGTGAAAAAGGCTGAGAAGGGGAACTTGGTGGGGCTAACAAACCCTAGGGGGTGCAGGAAAGGGCAAAGTGAGGAGTTGTGAGGTCCTGCAAAGTTTTGGTCTCTCTATAAGCTTTTCTTCTAAACTGCTGGGAAATATTGGCTGGTGGGGATGAGGAAAGGTAAACCTGATTACTTAAGCCACAAGCTCACTGGTGGGATAGAATGTGCAAGGCAAGGTAGGGTCAAGCAATGAAAGTGAGAATCAGGACTCTGGATTTGAAGCCCCATCCTTTAGGTGAAGAGCACTGTTACAGTAGGATGTATGCTGCCACATCCCATTTGACTACAAGCTGAGTGACTTTGGGCAAGACTCTCAGCTTCTCTAGGCTGCTGTAAAGCTGAGCTTTGCAGTAGTACTAGGCTGAACCCCCAAGGATGGACAGAGGCTGAGACACCAAATTCCACAGTGCATCAGTAGCACCACAGGATCCTCTGCTTAAAAGGGAAAAGTATCTTTAAGCACAACTCTGTCAGCCAGGGAGCAAGTACACCACCTTCCAGTACAGTCCAGTGGGGTCCAATATGTAGTGAAGTAGTGCCCACAGATCCCCCAATGACTCCATCAGGGTGCAACAAGAGACATTATTTCCCAACTACAAATTAGTAGAGGCAGAAAGACCTTAAATTTACTCATCCTGGCCTTCTATTAAAATGCATAGGAAGGAACAACAGAGACAGCAATTACAAGACAACAAAGACTGTCTGAAAAGTTTGAATTAGCTTGTGGGTGGATGGACAACCAGCCAGACTCTACCAAGAGGAATTCAAGTGCTCAGCTGTATCTTAAGTCCTACGCTACTGGCAGAAAACAGAGGTGCTCTTTTAGCAATACTGTTGTGATGAGCTTTAATCATATGAGGAAGGTTGCATTGTGCAGCAAGAGCAGGATGCCTTACGTAACAGTTTTTGTTAGTTAATAACGATCTCTAGTGTGCTTCTCTTGATGGAGTTCGTAGTACAATGAAAACATGACAACCCCTCATCCACAGGCTGTAAAACTGGAGCATAAACCTCAGAGGATTCTCTTGAAGTTCTGGGTTTTCCTATTTCCACTTAGACTAGAAGTAGAGCAAGATTGCTTGTGCTGCACTCTTCCAGCTTCCCTGCAATGGTCCAAGATCATCAAGAGAGACAAAACAGAGGGAGGGAGAAAAAGAGCACAAGCCAGCCACATGATCCTGCATCTGAGAATGAATAAACAGAAGACCAGTTATCAAATGTTATTCTATTTAATCAAATTGTTTCCACCTCACTTGCAGCCACACTCCCTGCACCCAGCACAGTAAACCCATGCTTTACATAAAGTCAGTCAAGCATCTTTGTATGGTTTTCCATCTCTCAGTTCTCCCTTTCCTTGCCAAACCTGAGCAGACTTTCAGACAGGGAAGGTAAAAAGCAGTGCTGCCTAGCAACAGCCAGGGACTTTCCATGGCAGCCTCTCCTCATCCTCCCTCTGGAGACCTCCACGTCACAAGCCAGCCATGAGATGCAGGAACTCATTAACTCCTATTTACACAGATACAAGCAGAGCCGAAATAACATTTATTTGGCTATATGAATTGCAGTAGCCTAAAGCCAGAGAGAATGGCCCACAAGAAAGGTGACACGTTCATCTTAGTAACACCAGGATTATTCCTAACTACAAAGCCAATCTGGAAGTGCAGTTTTATTTCCTTGAGTTATTTTGGGGGAGTTATGACAGGAAGAAGAGCAGAGATTTGCTGAATGTCATGGAGAATGTTAGTAGGAAAGCTGAGAATAAACTGTAGGATTTGGTCTTTCTTCACCTGCAGAAAAGGAAATGGAAGAAAAGAGGCAGCGTCTGTGCTCAGCCTCCCTATTTCAATTAAAAAGTCCCTTCTGTTGGTCTCCAACAGAATTGCTGGCACTGGAGCTAAAACCTACAGCTTGGGAGCACTTACTTGGATGAAGGAAAGTTTATTTTATGATCTGCTGTGGCTTCTACTTGAAAGGAGGAAATGACATGACTAAGGAAATGTGGAGTCTTTTTGAGGGCACAAGAGTTATGCCTCACTGTAAAATAAGACTGAATTGGAACATTTTAGGGTTAAACTCCCAGAAAACAGCAGAATCAGTTCAGTGTAAGAACCCTCCCACCAATTTCACCTCCTGTTACACAAATACTCCCTACTCATAAGCCAGGGACTCTGTCCTGGATTCAAAAGAAAGTTGCAGGGACTGGAAATGATCACTTAGAGATTACATATTTACTGAGCAATATGTGGTAATGAACCCCTGAACTTGCACATGTGGCTTTGCTGCACTTCACTGCCATATCAAAATATCACATTAATAGCAGAGACAAACCACTACCCTTGCTTCTCTCAGAGCACAGCTCTGTAGTCCAGCCTTGCTTCAGGAGACATCTCCAACTAAGCAGTAGTGCTTTGAGCGCTCTAACACCAACTCGAGTAGTTCTGAACTAACTCAGACAGTAAGTGGTACATGCATGTACTTGCTTAGACACACAAGCTACTGTATCCAGAATTACTGTATACAAGCTGCATCATCCAAATGATTGTAATAATATATTAACAAACAAAATATAGGTATTCTTAATGCAAGGTCATTTTATGAATAGTAAAATTCTCAAGAAAGATGAATTTATGTCAGACTATTGAAGTTGAAAAAGTATTTAAAACTCTGGCAATAAGCAGTTTGAGGGTGGGCATCAGAGCTTAGCCTGTAAATATTTAAGAGTTTGAACAATGTCTTAAAACAGAGTACAATGCAAAATATCAGCTTGTATATTAATAAACACCTTTCATGTTACATCTTTTTAGATACACATTTTTATTTTTAGAATAGTTTCATTTTCACTACCTCCATAGGACAAAGCGACAACTCTTGTCTACTGGTAGGGGTTTTTTTTAATTAATATTTACTTAATTTTATTTTCTGGTTGTAATTTTAAACCTAATAGCCTGTCTAGAGTTGGATGTAGTTGTTTAACTACCATATTTTTTTCAAAGTCTATCTCATGCAAGACAGCACAGGAACTCTCACTTCAACTTAACTCATCATTTAATTTACAAT